ATATGCAATATAATTGGCCCTGTTCTGGCATCTCGTCTACAGTCACTTTCTCACAGATGCGTGTCATTCTCTGTCTTTTTACAAATACTTTCATTTGCAGGAGCTCAATTCGTTGGTTCCAGACTTCATGAATTGAAGCGTCCTACGACGCTGGCATCCCGCTCTCACCCTTTCACTGTCGAAACTGTTAAATGTAGCCCTCTCTTCTACTCCAATAGCTTCATGTCTCACCCTCTCGCCTGTGGAACTCCTTCCCAATTCCAGTTTCCCCTGAGAGCTATAATCTCCAACTATTCAAATTCGACATCTCCAGTTGCCTTGATCTATCCACTATCCTTCTCCTCATCCTTTCCTCTATCAATCCTGATGTTTCTGACACGAGATATCATAATCAATTTTGATGATGTCTTTCAGTCTTAGTCCATTCAGATAGTGACTACATTGATCTTAGTGTTTCTAACACAAGATATTATTATCAATTTTGATGATGTCATTCAGTCTTGGTCCATTCAGCTAGTGACTACCTTGATCTTGATCTTGATCTTGTTCCAAATCTTCTGTAACCCCTTGCGTCCTAGTGGCTTCCCGCCTTGTTTGGGGTGAAACGCTTAAAAAAAAAAGAAAAAAAAAAGAATATTCTAAAGAAAACAGGATTGCTCGAGAGAAAATTTTAGAATTCTGAAATTTTTAGCTAATATTAAAATGAGTTAAAAATGACAAAATTAAAAATATTTTAAGGTGTTGCATATATAGGTATACGTAATGCAACAGATCATTACAACAGGTGCAAATACCTAGATAAAAACCTAATGGTATAATGTGTAGCTGTAAAAAGACTTAGCAAGTTTTAAGAAAAAAAAGCACTTTTTTTTATAAATAAGAGGAAAAAGGAGGGTTGCTGATCCAAATCAGGACCTAATAGAGTAAAGTTGAGTAAATATTCGGGCTCAGCGAATCCAAGTTACATAGAATAAAACTGTCGAATCTAATTCAATAGACAAAAATTGAAATTTCTTCCCCGGTGTTATTTGTCATTTATTTGCGTTGAGAACGACTTCCATCTCGTCTTGGGTGTTCAATAACACGATCTGTTTGAAAGTCAAAACCTCAGGCAATCTTTAGTTTGCATTCTACTTCCATTATTCCCAATGGTTAATACCAATCTCGTTGGGAATGACAACAAAATATTTGCCCTTCCATTTTTATAGGCAGAAGCACACAAATACACTCTGGGTTTCTTTCGTAGCCAACAAAATAGGCCGGTTTTCGGTTTCATCCGACCCAGTCCCGATCTGTCTTGTCTTGAAATCACAACGCTACATCCGCTTCTCCGAAGTTGCTTTTTTGTGTTAGCTTTAATTCTTAGTTTGTGAACTTTTTACCATATTACTGTTGGTTGGCTTTATTACTGTTAATTTGCTTTATCGCTGTTAATTTGCTTTGCATACATTCTTTGCTTGCTTTATATTATCTCTTGCTCTGTTCTTTTTCATGTTCATGCTTCTTGCAAACTTTGTCAATTCTGTTTGCTGGTCAGTTCTGTTACTTATTTGACCATAGCTATTCACCCCACATATTATTATTATTATTACTATTATTTTTATTTCCTTTGATTTCTGGCGTTTACACATTTCTTTCCGGGTCCCGCCCAGGGACGTAAGGTTAGAAATGGCATCATGACACTCTCCAAAAAAAAAATAAAATTACATAGATAAAGCCCTTCGTAAGGTGTGGGCTGTACTTGTCAGAACAATTTTTTGTATCTTCTTGGGGCATGGACTTCCAGGAATCCCTTCAATTAGTCTACTGCAATCTTTTCCAACCAGTCCTAGGGCTCCAACTACAAAAGGGATTGTTGATGTTCCCATATGCCACATTTTCGAGATTTCTGTTACAAGGTCCTTGTATTTTGACAACTTTTTGAATATCTTCAAAGATACATAGCAGTCAGCAGGGACTGCCATATCAAGGAGGCACTTTTTTTGTTTGTGGTCTTTAATAACAATATCTGGCCGGTTGGCCTTGATTGTTCTGTCAGTGTGTATTGTGTAATCCCATAGAATTGTAACAGGTCCTATCTCCGTAACCGGGTCTGGGTGGTGTTCATACCAGTTTCTTTCAGTTTCCTTCCCGTAGAAGTTGCAGATTTTCCAGTGCAGATATTGGCCTACTCTGTCATGCCGGGTTTTATATTCAGTGGGTGCCAACACCGTACAACCTGCTACAAGATGATCAATCGTTTCTGGATATTTATCACATAATCTGCATTTTGGGTTGACACAATATTTTATTTTTATTACTATTATTATTATACATAATAATAATAATAATTATTATTATTATTATTACTATTATTAATAATATTACTATTATTTTTCATATTATTATTATTCCAGTGGAATTATTGAAGGGATTCCTGGAATCCTTTCAATGAGTCTACTGGAATCTTTGCCAATCAATCCGAGGGCTCCAACTACAACAGGCATTCCTGATGGTCCCATGTGCCCCATTTTTGAGATTTCGAGTTCAATTATTATTATTATTATTATTATTATTATTATTATTATTATTATTAAGAGATGAGAGGAAAGGGAAGAGACTCTACTTTAGTACTCGTGATGATGGTTTAAGATCTTCCTTTTATTATTATTATTATTAAAATGATCAATTGATTAGTTGATTTGCTTTTTTACGGTTTATCAACCTCTAATGGAGTATTTAAAGCCCAAATATATTTGGCATTATAAGAGTAATTCTTTTTTTTTTTCAAGTGATAATAGCATTCAAAATTTTCTTGAGAAAACAATTTTTTTTTTTTTGGATACACGTCCTGCTGTTTAACCATAGCTGGGGAGAGTTAATCATTTATCAATATAAAAAACGAAAAGGACGGAGACTTACTAGTGTTGTTGTAATAGTAATGATAGTGTCAGATCAACCATTTATTGATTTTATTCAACATAAATTAATCCTTTGAGCCCTGTTTTCCTGAACAATTTTAACTCTTCTGTCTGAGCTCCTGAGTCAAAATTCACAAATAATTGGTATGCAATGTTTCACAGTAGATATAAAAATAGTTACAAAAAATATAACTTCCTGATTACTTCCCTGATGGTCCAGGTTTAGACTCTGCACGTTTCATGGTGAAAACGATCTTTTTTTTATCCAAAACACATAAACAAAACACAATGAAAAGACACGGACATGTTGCTATAACGTTCAATGACATCAGAATATTACGGCTTTTCTGATTGGCTCTTCAAAATAAGACATCCAATAGCAAAACACGATGCAAGTGTTTACCCAAGGTTCAACCGGTGGCTGGGCATTAAGTCATTTTTCTCTACTACCATTCAACCGGTGGCTGGACGTCAATCATTTTTCTCAACCACCGGTAAAGCGGTGGTGAGGGCTTAAAGAGTTAAAGACAGCATCTTCTTTCGTCCTTTGCATTGTGAATTGCGAATCTTATAAATGAAGGGAATTCTGCCATTTTTAAATTCACTTTCTCGAATATTTCTTACTTGGAAGGTTGTAACTCTAAACCGGAAGTTGCGCAGTGATATTAACGACTTATTTTCCAAATCTTGCTTCGAGAAGTTAA